TTATGCGCGTGACGTCATATTACAACGACTGGCTCATATTTGTATGGGTGGAATCTTGCAAACTGAAATAAGACCCACTTCCAGGCAACCGATTAAGCTGAAATTTCGCAAACACATGTGATTTGGATGACCATGCAATATTATGATGACATGGAGCTGATCTGATGATGGAGCTGGAAGGTGGCCATAGGAACTCTATAATAAAACGACTTAAATGCATCGAGTTTGGGCTCGTTCGTTTTGTATTGATGAGTATTTTAATTCTATATAGTAATCGGGGTCTAATGATGGAGCTAGAAGGTAATTCGCAATAAAACTACACAATCGCATCAAGTTTGGGTTTGGTTCAATTTTAATTTCTGTGATGGGTCTGGGTGTTAATATGTATAATAAGTTTGTATTTACAAAAAAAATATATTTAAGTATGTTTATATCCGTTTTATAGTGAGCGGACGCTGTGAATGTACGTCACACGGGGTCACGTGACCGTCGGCGGGACTCAATATTTAAGCGAACTTTGAATGCCTATAAAATCATAACTACTGGGTATTTTTGAATGAAATAAAAACTAATGTATTTGTAAATGTAAAAGCTTAACTGTAACATAGGTTTCAAGTGATTTTGCATACCTAGTAACATTCTCAATTGTTATTGCATGCTGTGTGTTCACGCTTTTAGGTTGCAATCTAGATATAAGCATTGTTTTGTAATAATTGTATTTTTTAATTGCAGTTATTTGTTTGTATCGCTTGATTGTTACCTGTTGTGTATCCCTAATAAATAAATAAATAAATAGTTAACTTAATTGTTTCACTTACGAGTACCTCAGACTGGAACATGCATCTGTTGCAACTTCTAGAAAGCTCACAATAAATCTTTAAGTTGAAAGCTCTTACTGCTTGCACAAAAATGACTTATAAACTAGGTAGGTAGGTGTCGTTACCTAAAAGATATCACTGAACACAAATTGAGCTATGAAAAACATCCTCTCAATTTGAAGCCTTTTTTATGACGTCATGGACACAGAAAACTTATATTTTTTCGACTGGAAAATACATGAAACTTACATAAAATATTTGTATTGAAAGAGCCCATCCACTGGCCCATGGAGTTTGCTAGATGAAATAAAATACTACACATGTACTCGTAGCTGTATGACGGTCTCAAATTTGAGAGACGACACTGATTTTCAGCGTGCTTGCTTATACAAAGCTTGTTTATTTACATGTTTTACTTACTCATCTCCAGAGAGACCGCCTTATCACAACCGCTAACCTCGTAATGGATCGTTCGTAAACCTAATCGATGTTTTAGACAACGATCGACAACAAAGCGTTCCATTTTACGCATCGCAAATTCGCTCACGCTATAGATTATAGCAATTTACGATATTTCTTTTCTCCCGAACATAATAGGCCTCCCTGGGCGAGAGATAACGAAGCTCGGTGCACCGGCCTATTACATGTCGTGTTTTTGATGTACAGAAATCGTTTGAACTGGATTTAAAAACGTTTTGGAGGGATTTGACGCGCTATTTCAAGTAATTTCAGACGAGTTGAAAGCGCTTTCTGTGATTAATTTAGGATTAGATTATTAAAAGATCCTTAGATTAAGGCAACCTTAATCATTAGAGTAAAAATATATAAATAAACGTATTTCACCTGGCATCCAAGCTTTATTCCGTTAAATAAAGAAGCGGCAAACACAGAATTGGCTAACCCGTTCAGTGAACGTGGTAGTCATATAGGTCTCGTAAAGTTCACAGGACGTCTTAGATCTTTGATGACCTTTTCTTTTAACAGGGGGTACATTCTACAATTTGAAAAGTAATGCACTAGACTAAGAACTAAATATTTTCGAAATCAATTTTACGGTTCAAAATTTGCAACGAGCTTATGAGGCTACAGTAATGGACGAAACTAGGTAGGTACTTATTATCTTCTTCTTCTTCTACGAGTACATAAAGTGAACAACCAAGTTGAAATTCTTCTGAAATAATCCCTTCACGTTTTAAGTTCAAACCATTAGTTACGTAACCTCAATTTCAATGTAATTCACTTTTTTCTTCAGTAATCGGAACCCACACGTAATAACCCACCGCTGAGTGATTCTCGCCGGTAACCGATTTCTTTTATCGCGCAATCGAAAACATTACGATGTAATCGACTAACGAGAGCAATTTGGGTATCCCCCAGGACGTCCTTTTGGTTACAATCAAGCACCTTTGTGTTTTCACGGATTTTTGGGGAGTTTTCTTTTCCATTAGTTAGTGGGTGATTAACATCTCGTTATGGGATAGCGTGTGCGTTGTGACCTCCTTATTCAATCTGTGTACTGTGTGTGTGTGTGTGCTTTAGTTAAGATGTGGTTAAGATAAGATACCTATACGAATAATTAGCTCATAATTTACTTCATCATCATCATCGTTTCAGCCACAGGTCGTCCACTGCTGAACATAGGCCTCGCCCAATGATTTCCACAACGGCCGGTTGGTATTATTAATAATTTTATTAATGAAGTTATTAATCTAATGAGTAAGGTATCACTTGCATTGCCATCCTTTCTTATAAAAAAAGTTATGAATTAGTTTAGAACCCTTTTTATGGATTATCCAAAAACAAATTGTATAATTTCCCGTAAATTAGTAATTTACGGTTAGTTAAGTAAGTAAGTAATTGTAATTTTAATGTCTTGTGCCAAATAAACATTTTTTTTTAATCCTATGGATTGGAAATACAAATTCAGTGATATTACTTTTTTAATGCAGAACAAGTAAGGTATTTGATTGCAATCACACCATAAGTGAAATGCAATTTAAGATGAGACAACTATAGTAAAACTTAACTGTCCCTATTTCAGGAGATTTTAAAATACCTTTTATTGCAAGATTGCCAAATCCTATTGGCACGTATACACAATGGAGTAGCAAAATTGTTTTAAAGCAGACGCATTAAGTTTCAACCTTCTACGAGTAACTTCCAAACTCTTGGCATGCCGCCAACCCATTTGTTAAGTTATACTTAACTTCCTACTTTTGTTAAATACCATAAACGTCATAAACAACGACTTAACGAATTGTTTTTACACGTAATGCGCCACAGAAATGTATTTTATTGCAGTACAAAATAAACAAGAAGAATTTCCTACTCAAAGTTTTAAAGTAGGTAAGTATACTCGTACCTAGGTACCGTAAAATAATTCTTGAATCAAAAAAGTCTTGTCAGATGCATGACTGCTTATTAAGTCTGAGACCATATTCTAGCTCGCTTGTTCCCAACGAATCACACGCAAACGAGTAACACTGTTACTCGTTGCGAAAAATATTCCCATCCATTCACACTGGTAGTGATAATCACACACATTAAGTACCTTTATTATATAAGATGTTTCATCAGAAAGAAACAATTGACAAAATACATTAAAAATCATAGTAATTAAATAATCTAAAGTATTCGAAAGCTTACAGTACCAAACTCGGTGGGAACAAGTGCTTTAACTTACTAGTTTTGGCTACTCACTGGCTTACTAGTTTCGTCTAGTTCCACCAGATCCAAATGCCACAATACGAAGTAGTTTTGCAATATACAGTACTCAAAAGTTGTTCGATTTCACTTCAAACTCAGCACAGAGTGTTGATCAGTCCTCTATAAATTGCTCCCAATACTTACAGGTAAAACTGAACTAATACTTATACTCGTAGGTCGCGCAACGAAAGTTGAGGCACGAATTTACTACACTGATGGAATATTTGAATTCAGAAAACACAAATCAGTTAAAATACGCAAGACGTCAGAGCGATCATCGTATACTGATACAAAACTTTGCTTGTGTTAATCGTCTCAACTCTTGCTGAGCGAACTATACTCCAAACCATAAATAAAGGGCGCTCTACACCTGTTCGCGTATGCTTAAATCAGTGCAAACCACAGAATACGTGGTCGCCGAGCGTTCTTCGCAGAAGAGCGTTTCCCTGTTCCTAGAATCTAAAGAGTTTTTACGGTTTCTGGGGGGAAGGGGGGCGTATATCCTTATTTGCGCTAGTACGTGACCTCGCTCGTGCATGTGATTCAGCTAAAAGGATTTTGCACCGCAAAATTACGCGGAATTAGCGACGAAAAATGATTCTATGTGGAGGCACTTTTTTATCTCGCTTCGTAGCAGCGGGATTGCACAATTACAGTTTCCTTTTGTTCATAATTGAATTCGGTAGTAATTGTGTATGTGTGTAGTTCTCTCTCGTAGTAATATTCATTTTACATGATCCCCAGTTTCGTCGGTGTACTAGTGTTATGTTTGTAAACTAACTAACAGTTTTTTTTAATAAACTAAACTAAAACAATGATTATTCTTAGGCGGGACACTACTCTTGCTCTTTTTAAAGAAGATTAACAAAAAAATCTAATCATCAACATAATCAAAACTTTAAAAGTGATGGTGGCAGCACTGTCGTAGTGTGCAATAATTAGGTAATTAATTAACTCTTTTATAAATTAAGAGTATCGTTTATACTTTTGCATATTAAATATGTAATAACTTTTTTCGACTATAAAACTACATTAGTTTTTAATTCTGTTTTATGAATAAAAAGATTTTCAACCTAGCGTTTTCAGCTATTTATAATATTGGCTGTACGCATTTTTGTATCTTTTTGTTTGCCAAATAAAATTGAACTAGCAGCGAGTAAAATCAAACTCAAATGATTTCCGTTTTTATTAAACAAAACTCAACAAAAATTACACGGATAACATAAATTAAATGGGAACAAGAACCTCAGTGTTATTTGCATGGTGCGTTTCGTAAACGACATACTGAAATAAACGCTATACAAAGTAATGTTAAGGGCTAAAATTAAATATAGTTTACTTTACATTCAATAAATAAATTAAGCAATAACGTGCGTTATGAACATGAAACGTTTTTAGACCAAAGACGCAATGTATCATAGAACACGCCGAGTCTAATGTTAATTGTGATCCTTATAAAAAAAGTAAGTAAAAAAGTACTTAATTAATACAAAACTGAAGCAGAAATGCATTTACAAAGAGTTCTAGATTACATCATTATGAAGACTAGGGCAACTGATGCCTCATTGACTAGGTTAGATCGTAAAATAGAAATATCACATCGCATTACAGTATAGATTAAGACGATGATAGAGAACATGATAATAATTATAGACACTCATTTTAGTACGTATTAAGGCCCGTTTGAGTTAAGTACATTATTGAAGAAGTTGAAAATTAATTTAATAGTACAGATAAAAAACTAACAGAGGCTAACTTAAGCTATACATACAAATACTCGTTGCGTCGAATTTTTACAACCTTACATGCAAACCAGCGTTGTGGTAGACAGTATTTTGCTTCACATAATCACATCGAATTCGTTTGAAGAATTTTAGGATCGTGACGAAGTTTTTTAAAAATAAGTTACCACAGCTGCGTCCGTTCAGAAATAACCGAAAGACTTAAAAATACTTTTCCTAAGCTTAGTCTTCTGTGCCGGTGATCCACTGGAGGTATTTGAAGGATCTGGATTGGAGGGGACTGGCGCGGGCGTCGGCGTACTGACGTGACTGCGGGTAGATCGGTTGCTCCCTGAAAATTATAAAGAATTACATTAATTATCAACTCTTAGAAAAATATAACTCGTATGGAAAGGCCTTCGATTCACATGGTTTGACGATATTCAGAAAGAACATAGATTTGTGTTATGAATGAATTAGTTGACAAAATTTTTCTGCAGATATGTTTGAGAATATTCATTAATGTATAATTGATCATAGCACAGTTCTTCCATCACAAACATGCAAAATTACATTACTTTCTTTCTCTATAATGACAAAGCGAAAAGCTGTTATCTACAAAATGTATGTGGGAGTGTGAAACGGAACGCAAGGGAGTGAGTGAGACGGAATGAATGAGTGAGGAAGTAAGAACGACGGGATTTAAACAGAAGACGATTAGTATTAAGACGGTTCTAAGACGTTCCTATTTTTTGTGGTTTATCCTGGAGTCAATACAAATACAGCTGAAGAAATACAACCTGGGTTTCAATTCCTACATGTATTCAAATTAGATTATGCATGAAAATTACAGCATTGTAAGTGTAACGTAGTCTGTCTTGTGTACCTACATGGTACATGAGTAACCTTGACTTTAAAACTTGGAAAATAGAGTACCTTGGATAATAGATATTTAATTTTGATAATTTACGGTGGATATTTTTAATTCAATACAACTGATGCTCTATTTATGTAAGGGATATCTTACCTAGGTTCAGCAGAAGCACGGGACTGGGCATGGTACGCAGGCACGTTAGGGTTGTGGTAGCTCTTGGCAGGAGGCACCAGCGTGTGAGTCTGCACAGGCGGGTGCTCCGCCACCACCGGCGCCTGGTAGCTGTTTGGGTTGTATCTGTCCACCGACACGCCCCTCACCCTCTCAGGAATCGGATCCACATTACTCTTCGCATAAGTACTCAGCGGCCGACCGCGACCCAAAGTGTTCGTCTTGAACTCCTGGGATCCAACGTACTCCGACTCAAAACTCCTCTCGCGGTAAGAATTAGGCCGCAGCGTTTGACTCCACGTTGGCGTCGGCGTATACGTCGATGATGGAGGAGGCTTAGCATATTTGCTGTCTTCTTCCCACGGCGGCTTCACTGAAGTCTGCTCAGTAGTTTGAGAAGAAGTCTTCTCAGTAAACTCCCGAAGTTCCTTTCGCCATTGCGGCTCCGAAGTCTCTACAGGCTCGTTGTTGTCATAATAGTATTGGGGAGAAGGATCCGGCTGAGGCTGGTACTTGCTCTCTCCAGGGATGTAGTTAGATTCTGGCACAGTGATGTAACGCCTCTCATATTCGCTGTAGTACGTCTTCTTGCCAGGCACCCTCGGAGGTTCCACGGCATTCACATGCTTCACAAAGGACTGGTTAGGAGCAGGCGGTATGTAGGCCGTAGGAGGAGGCTTAGAGAACTTGCTCTTAGGAGGGGCGGGAGTCCAACCCTGGTTACTGCTAGGAGCGTAAGAGCTTGTTTGTGGTGGTGGCTGATAGTAGTTTTGGTTTGAGGTGTCAGCTACGTAGCTTGAATCTTGTTCCCATGGTGGAGGAACGTAGCTAGAAGAATACTGTTGTGACGATTTTTGATATGACTCAGTGGTTTGGTTGCGTAAAGAGTATTGATTCTGTTGTGTGTTGTATGAGCTAGAAAGTTGTGTGTCAGTGCTGTAAGTGTTACTGCCCCAAGTGGAAGGCTTGGGTGTGTAAGGTTGGTAATTGTTCTGTTGATACGTAGTATTTGTGTTGTTATCACTGTAGATGGGTTGGTATTGGGCTTGGGGTTGAGCTTGAGGTTGGATGGGGGTTTGCGGTGGGAGCGGGGTCTGGGGTGAAAGATAGGATTGGTTCCAAGGCTGACTTGGAGCAGCAGCAGGTGTTGGAGTTGTCACATTGTTATACAAAACGTTCTCTTTCCTGCTTTGATTTTGTTGGTACCATTGGCTATTGGTGATTGTGCTCGGCTTGACATTGCTGACGGTAAGAACTTCAGCTTGTGGTTCTTGAGACCACTGTCTCTGCTGGTCGACGGTCTGGTTGCTGTATTGGTAGTTGTTTTGATAAAGGTCTGAAGATGGGACTTGGCGCTCCATGCTTAGCCTTTCAAGAAGCAAGCTGTGACGCCTTTCTTGAGGTTGAGCGGGAGCTGGAGGGTAGACAGGCTGATAAGGTTTCGCAGGCTGAGGAGATGTGGAAATCCGATCCCTGCCTGGTGCAAAGTAAGTTTTGACGGTAGGTATACCTTGTTGAGTTAGTTGTTCGTAGGTGCTATCTAAAGTTTTCGTTGTGCGGTTAACTGTTACAATGTTTTCAATTCTGTTGTATTCAGTTTGGGTGCTAATCGGACCTGACGGTCTTTCGTTACTGGTGATTATTTCAGTGTTTTGCGTGTGTGATTTGGTGATTGTTTCTGAGGCTGCACCAATGGGTTTGATTTCTACATCTTCGACTTTCTCCAGTGGAATAGATGGTTCCCTTAAAGGCACACTAGGTTCAACCTTTGGTTGAGGCTGTGGTTGTGGTTCCGGTTCGGGTTTCACTTCTTTAGTTTCCTTTACCTTTTTCGTTTCTTCTTCTTTGACCACTTCTTTCTCAGGTTCCTTAGGCTTCGGCTCTTCCTTGGCTGGTTCTGGTGCAGTTTTGACTACTTCTTCTTTTTCAGATTCATATTCTTCTTCAGTATATTCAGACTCTTCATCTTTTTGCTTTGATTCTTCCGTCTTTTCTACCTTTTCCTCGACTTTTTCTTCGGCTTCTTCGAACTCTTCTTCCACTTGTTCTTCTTCAACTTCTGCGGCCTTTTCAGGTTCTTCTTTCTTTTCTGGTTGTGCAGGTTCCTCCACCTCTTCTTCTTCTTCTTCCTCCTCCTCTACTTTTACCTCTTCTTTCTTAACCTCAACCTTTTCTTCTACCTCTTCTTCAACTTCTTCCTCCTCAACTTGGACTTCCTCTTTCTCTACCTTCGGTTCTTCTTTAGGTTCAACCTTCTTAGGTTCAACTTTCTGTTGGACTTCTTCTTCAACTTCTTCTTCTTCCTCTTCCTCCTCCTCTGTCTCCTGCTTTTGTACTACTGCAACTTTCTTAGTAACTGTCGTCTCTGACCGTTCTTCTTCTGTGACTATTTTAGTTTTTTCTCCATTCTGGACTGTTGTTGATGGCTTCTTAATAACAACTTCTTCTGTCACCTCGGCATTGCCGTTTTCTTTGACTTCTTCAACGACTACTTCTCCACTCTCTTCTTCTTGTTCTTCTTCTTCTTCATATTCTTCTTCTTCCTCATCCTCCTTTGGTATTATAGTCGTTTCAGTTTTTGTTGCAATAGTAGTTTTGCCATCTACAGTGGTTTTTGTTATAGTGGTCTTAACTTCTTCAATGCTGCCATCAGGCAATTGTTTCTTCACAACTTCAACTTTAGTTTCAGTCTTTGCCGCAGACTTTTTCGTAGGCAGCTTCACAGTCAGTTGTGCTTCAGAGTCTCCGTTTTGGTCCCCATTTTGAACTTCTGATTTGCTTTCCTTCTTTACTTTTTTGACCACTTTCACTTCTTTCTGAAAAAGATAAAACAAACATGGCTGTAGTAAACCACAAAACTTCTTCAATTTTGCATATATTTTGGGTTAATCACAATGAAACCAAACTTAAATGTATAGTCGACGGCACATCAGACTATATTTTATAGCAAAAGAAGACTTATTACAACTAAAAAAAAATATCACAATGTTGAGCTTGATGTTGATGTGCTGCCGTCTGTACCTACATTGTTTTAATTTAAAAAAAACCACATAAGCTGTTAGATAAGTTAATTAAAGGAAAAAAAAATATAGGTAAACCTAGCAAGAATAAATTAATTGAATGACTGTAAAAAAAACAATCATAATAAAAGAAACCCTGTTTCTCTTGTCTAAACTTTGTAAAGTATATACGTATAAGTAACGATAAAAACACTAATGTATATGTAAACATAATATGTATACAGTAATTTTAAGTAAACCTGTTCATCTTCTAATCTTGTGTAGTCTTCTACTGCTTTTGTTTCGAATGATGGAGATATCCTTGGAAGCGATATTGGTTCAATAGAAAAGTCCAAATCGATATTACTATCATCTGACGTTTCATTTTCTAAGTTTATTGACACATCTGCACTTTTTTCACTGTCTTTTGGATCCTTTAACTCAAAGTTAAAAGTCGGTGTAGCACTCTCCGATTTAATTGATACTTTAGTTGTATTTTCACTGTTATCTATATTACTTTGTGGTTTCAATGTCACATTACAAGTCAATGTCGTGTCGTCAGAATCGTCTTGTTTGTTGGTAACTTCCACAGTGTTTTCAACATTCGTTGTTTCATTGGAATTTAAATTAAATGAGATTGTTTTTTCTGAATTCACATCAGTAGCTTCGACATTGCTTTTAAGGTCATCCTCTCTACTATGTGTAGACGATATGTATCCCGAATCTATAAGAATGTCGGTGGCTTTAGTTTTGTCAGAATCATTGCTTTGATTTGACTCGAAGTGAGGAAAAGCTATATTCTTAGTATTAATACTATCACTAGTTTGTTTCAAGTCTACACTTGGTGCTGTACAATCGAAATTAAACAATGCATTTGTAGGTTTTATGCTCTCTCCAATACTACTGTTTTCTTTTAATTTTACGTTTACAAAAGCAGATTCTTTACTATCCAAAGGCTTATCAGATTTGAAAACCGGTTGTATAGTAGGATTATTGAAACCATTGCTGTCCCGCGGAGCAGCACGTAAGTATTCAGCTTCATAACTCATTTCTGGTAGATAAGATACTGGGTCAGTACTCCCGTAACTCATTCTCGGTAGCGTATTTGAATTATTAGGTTGAGCATTGTATTCATACATTGAAGTTGGTCGTTGGTAACTGGCATTGTTGTTGTTTACAGGTGAATAAAATGAGGTGGTATTTTCTGTTCTGTTTGGTTTCGGTAACTGTGTTTGCTGAACTTTTGGCACTATAGGTTCCTTAGGCTGGCTTGGGTTACTTCGCGTCCGCAGCAACGACTTCGGATTGGCTGGTAAGTTAAACGTTGGGAACACTTGGACAGGGAGACAGTTGAAGTTGGGAACTGCAATCGTGTTCGCAGGCGGCGATTGCACTTGCTGCACTGGGATTTGAGGAACACCTTCATTCATAGCATTTCGCATCAACCGTTTTGCCATACGCTCTGACTTAATCTCTGACAAGTCCAGCCCGCCAGGGGTATACGTAAACGGCTTCCGCTCCCTGTTCATGGCGCTGTGTAACGCCGACGGCGGATTCATTTCGCTGAAATATTCCCCAACAAATTATATATCACGGCAATATTTTATTTATTCCCACTGAGCGGTTTCTGGCAAACTATCAAATTGTTTTGAAAATACTCACTATGAACGTTACACGCAAACAGAACTCACTTCCAGCACGAGCACGTGTTTTATTTGTCACATTTGTCTGCCACTGGGTTGCACTAGATCAATCCACATCACGGTGTATTGGATGGCTTGTTTTTGGCGGAACTTGCTGATATTAAACTGGGAGCGGTTAAATATAGCTCGGTTTAAACGAGCCGGTACATCGCATCGGTCGGAGGTCCGCGCGGCGGCGGCGCTCTGCCGCCTACTGAAGCGTGCGCGCGCGCAGCCGTATATTTTGGTCGCGACCCCGATATTAACGGTCGCCTCATCCACAATTTGTCTTGGGCAAATCGTGAAAAGCATACACTTCCGATGCGCTGTTATTTATTGCATTACACTGTGTCCATTCATCTGTGATGCAATTTCTCTGACGTGCGTCTTCATGCATGGGCGCCTGATCACTGATGAAAGTGATTGAATATCGAGTTCGAGATTGCTAGCTAAACCTACCTATGCTAATTTCGATCAGTAAAAAATATTCATTGTGATTTCGAATAAATATAAAAACTTCTGCTTCAAATACATCACGGCTGTATCCAACACAAACAGTAAAGTATCTATTTACACAAAAGCGTTTTGTCCAGAATAAACATTTTGGGTTTCCCTAAAAATATATTATCTTGACCGCTGTCCCAGTCGAGGTCGTCAACCTGAAGTGTAAATACAGCAATACTTCAGCGTTTTTATGCTGTTTTCTTTCTCCTTAAAAGTTTTCAGGTTCTATATACTTTTTGCATGTTTAATTACTGAAAACGCTGTTTTGATTACGTCTACAATGTCACTGTAATGCGATCTACACACCAAACCCGCCGACTTGTGTCGTCGACTTATGTATAATGTTGTAAAAAGTCAGAGAAAGTCGTCGACGTGATTCTTTTGAAATAAGGGCGCCGACACTACGTTGGTGTGTAGAGTCCTTAGGAAGGACAAATAAAGTTTTCAAAAACTCTAACTATCAAGACAAGGACAAGTCAATCAACTATAACTTCTTTGGCTACTTTTCCCATTACCAATTTCCCAATCTCGACCATTAATTTTTGCTCCAACGCATCAATGATCAGAATAACAATCAAAATAAATTGCTGTTCTGTTCCTTTGATTTCTGAGATGCAATATCGAAATATCGAATCAAACGATATCGAATACGGCGCAGTTACACTATGCGGGAATTTTAGCCGAGACGAAGCGCGAGCACGCACACCGAAGTATGGTCGACGCACGGCGAAACCGAAACTAACTGAAGTGCGTGTTTACATTATAATTATGTTGCGATCAATTTTCCATATAGTGTAACTGTGGTAGCAGCCGGCTGGTGCGTAAAGCGTAAGCTTGGTTGCTCAAAGTTTATGCAATACCTAATAATTATATCCAGCGGAACGCTCATTTAGCTCGTCGAGATATTTGGGTTAGGGCGTTTTCACACTATGACGTGCTGAATTTTCAGTTTCTGGAATATAGAAAATTTATATTCTCCGTCCCGAGTTCATTTGTAATTAAAATGTACGATCTTCTCATTATTGTAAAATATTAAATAGGTATTATTATATCAGTACTTATTGTAGTTTCATTCACATTTTCATGTTTCACATAGCTGATTCTGAGTTGCTCTGTTTCGGAATATTCAAAACGCTTCATTCTTGCCAGGTATGCTTTTTAATAAGTCCTTAAACATGTGAAATAGGTAACTCGCTGATAAACATTAGGATTATCCTTTCAATCATCAATACAAGACTAAACCAGCTTCAAACAAACCAAAAAAGTAGTAAACTTGTTTCTAATACCCTGCCTCCATTTCGTGGGGTTTCGCTGCGCGCGTGTGAAACGCGGCTGAGAGAGGCTTACAAAGATTTACAAGAAACTAGCTAGTTGCGCTAGCACGGTCTCCGACAGGGCAAAGCACGAACTTTAAAACCCAATACTATTAAGTTGTTTGTGATTCTAGTTCACCACTTCCACTTCTATTACTATGTACTTAACACCCGTGCTATAAGACTGCTATGCACTACAAACAAGAATCAAAACTACCCTTAAGGGGGATTAGTTGGACTGGACACGTTGCTTGCCCATACAATACCCAATTAAGAATACTTGCCCCTATCGTTATTTAAGACTTAAGCAAATCAGTATACCTGTCCTATATTTAAGAGACCTACACACCAATAGCGTAATGGCAGTGTTTTATTTGTGGACAGTTCACAAAATGATAACACATTATCCGTTCTATGCGATGCTCCATATTTCTGCAAATCGTCTCTTTCTTTTATAAGAGGTAATAAATGCTGATTGGTTTAAAAATTAACAAACAATTTATAAGCTTGAATTCATACTTCAATTAAAATCGTTATTTAACCTTCTTAGGCCCGATTCGACCGAACTTTTATCCGAGAATAACTCCTGGTATAACTAGCACATTGACAGTTTCAGTATGAAATATGTCAAAATGTCGAATAACTGACGATTTATTCTGAGATTAATATTTACTCTCGTTTAGTCAAATCCACCCTTAGACCAGGCGCAGACCACCGATTTTAAGTTGGCCGATAGTTGGGCCCGATTTTAATTTGTATGAAGAATCGGCCAAATCAAATCGGTGTAATGTGCGCACTTCCATACATGCACATTGCCCATACTGATCAACTGCCCGACTAAACTATCGGCCGACGAAAAATCGATGGTCTGCGCCTGCTTTGGTGTACTTTGCCTATCTAATTAGGGATAAAAAAAACTATTCCTAAAAAAATTTTTGTACTCTTATGTGACCGCGCCCTAAGAGGAGCTTACCAAGATTTACAGCAGACAAGTGCGATGCAGGCGGCGCGCGCGCATCGTTTGGCCGCCAACCAAAACATTATGTTCTATTACGTGATGGGGAATTAAAATTTTATGTGCAGATCAGACTACACATTTTTATTGCAAAATAGACCCTATTACAACTGGGTCAGAAGCCCCAGTGTTTAGCTGAACATGCTGTCGTCATTGTTACGTTAGCAGTTGTTCTATGTCGAAGAAATGTTTGATGTTTCTAGCAAGGACAGATTTCAAAAGATTCCCTTTTTCCCGGATTTTAAGTGTTCTTGTCTGGTAAGGCCCAGAACACACTGTGAAACGCAACTGCAACGAAACTGCAACTTCTAGTTACTTCCAGTTCAAATCGGTTTCAAACTGGTCGCGTCATGTGTGGTCTCTCAACAGACGCTATGTCAGAAACTTAGATGCAACTCAAAAGTAACTAGGAGTTGCAGTTTCGTTGCAGTTGCGTTTCACCGGGTGTTCTGGGCCTAACATACCAATATTTTTAAATAAAGAATATTAGTAATTTAGACAAATTACTAGTAATGTAGTCCCGTTAACCCCTCATGCTAAATAACTATGCTTGTGTTGGTCCAACAGACGAAGGAGTTTGATCACCGATTCTGAAGTCATATTTGGGCTATTGTCGCCTCTAGACACAATAAAACACTGGAATTATTCAAATTATTCCTAATCAGGATATAATCAACAGAAGTTAATTAAGTACAACCAATAAAATATGAATAAACGTATTCTAAATAGCTTTTCTACGTGTATTTTGTCCATGTACCGTACAGGCTAAATTATCACACGTAATCATTATTAACGAAAGTATTTAACGCTTGAGGAATGAAATCGAATGCGGCACAAAAAGTCCCCTGTAAATGCATTTGGACATTGTTTCTCAAACTTTTCACTGAGAGATCTCCGAGAAGAAAAAATTGTTAGAAAACATCATTTTAATCTAGATTATTAGTACAGTACCTATAAGATAAACAATTAACTAAAGTTTAGAAGAAAATTCTGAATAGAAAAATCACACAATCACAATTATCAGTATGCTAGGAGTAGGTATGCGGATTGTTTTACTTTACAGCAGGCAACAAAACTAGGTCGAGTAGATAGGCACTTTTAGTCTGGGGTGCACCAAATTACTTCAACTTTGACAAACGTCAAAAATCAGTGAAACTCCATACAAAAACGGTCAAAGTTAGGTGGTGTAACTCATCCTAAGTTTGTATTTAGGTTAGGTCAGCTAAACAAAATTTTGATCTAGTACGTGATATAAGTACACTCTTTTAATAACCGATCATTTTCTTCCTTTTAAAACACCATAATCATGTGGTTTTTCGCAGTGATTACTGTTAGGTATTTTTATTGGGACCTTCCTGGAATCCCCTTAAAACTAATCAATAAAACTTTGGGAACCGCTGGCTAACCGTTTGCATGTGAAAAAACTGCGTATTGCAGCACGCGACGCATTTACATAAATGAATAAGGGGAGCCTATACTACGACGGAAATCCGAGCGTTTCTTTGCAAAACACCATACTAACGAGTATTACATAATCTTCTAACGTGGACGGGATTAGGGGCCATTACCCTAAGCGCAGGGGTCGGCAACTTTTAAACTGAAAGTCTAAAGTGACAATAAACCTTTGAAGTTTCTTATGTCAGTCAAAATTTCGTTTCATGGCTGAGTGGGTAACACACTGGTTTTCATGGTGTTGTTAGTTATCAGCATTTTCTTTTTTCAGGGTTTTGACAAGAAAATATGAAATTAAGAACCCTAACCATTATTGCCAACCCTCCATAAGCGCGTAACACGAAGAGGAAAGACTAATGCATTAAAAAACATTTAAAAACTGATGTAATAAAATATCGTATTGAAATAGAATCAATAATAGCTAGCATTTTAGCTAAAAGCATCTGTCAGTAGATTAATGCACACAAAATGGAATAGAAAAATTACTGGCATTATTTTCGCGCGCAAAAAAGCTAAACCTTAACACACAAGGCTAGGTTGCACCATCTTACTTTAACTTTAAAAAACTTCAAAAGTCTGTCAAACTCCATACAAAAAACACCGATTATGGTTATACCTAGTTACGGTTAAAATTAAGTGGTGCAACTTAGCCTTAGTATTTCCCTAATTCAAGCTCAATAAATCTTTTTATCTGTGTGTTACCTACTCTCAATCTCAACTTAATACCGTATCGAAATACACAAAGAGAAATTCCAAGAACATAACTTGTCTGCTAAATGGAATCCCATTATGTAGATGAAAAAAACCGTTAATGGATAAGATGTTACTTACTTTTACCTCGGTCTGGACAGACTCCCCTTTTGTTGCCATCCTGGAACAAAAGACGCAATTAAATTTAAAATGATAGTTCGGAAATGTATCAAGAATACTCGCTCGCGGTATAAAGTATCAAGTTGGAAAGATTTTTGCTGAATAGCGTGGAATGGAAGTGGGAAATACATTGGGATTTTGATAGAAATGACATATTTAAACATTATTTTTGGTTCATAGTCAAGTGCCTACTAAGGTTATCCACTACCCTATTCTTCAGAAGATAGATAAGTATAGATACATTAAAATATCC